GGCGAAAAGCTTTACCAACCAAGGTGCGCGAGGCGGAGTGGGCTCCGCATTCGCCTTCATGGATATCGGCAAGAAGCACAACGCCTTGTTCCCGAGGAATGCACTTCAGGAGGATTCCATTAGCCGCGCGCCGATAGAGGGTCCCTTCTACCAGCACGTAGCGTTTGGAGATGCGATGGACGCGTTCACTCCCTTCGCGGTCCTCGGGTAGAGTCTTATCTGTGAGGTATGCTTGGATCTCGGCGATCCAAACAATCAATCTAAGGGAGCTGGGAGCGCTCCCCTCGGGTCCCGAGGCCTGGGCTCCGACGGGCCTCGGGGGCCGGTCAGGCGCGTCCGTCTCACCTAAGGGGTCGGGTCGCGCCGACGGCTGGACAAGCCTTTCTTCAAAGGCGCCCGGTGGGGTCTGGGCTCGCGAGGACGCGAGCCGTGAGAGTTCGTCGGCAATCATGTTATCCCGTCTGGGCACATGCCGAAGCTCAATCCCGTCAAAATGGCGCTCCATACGCCGTACTTGGCGCACGTAGGCGTCCATCTGCAGGTCAGAGCACCGGTACTCCTTACAGACTTGGTTAACGACCAGCTGGGAGTCGCCTAACACCAGGAGGCGGCGGATCCCCAGTCCAGCTGCCACTCTGAGTCCGGCAAGGAGTCTCTCGTACTCTGCCATATTATTGGTCGCTCGAAAGTCGAGGCGGACCAAATATTTGAGGACGTCTCCGCTCGGAGAGGTCAACGTGACCCCCGCACCGGCGCCCTGAAGAGATAGGGAGCCGTCGAACTGCATTACCCAGTGGGCGGTGTGAGGCAGCTGCGAGGGGTCCGTGCTGGCCTCGGGGATTGAGACGGGCTCGGGAGCCGGGGTCCACTCTGCCACAAAATCGGCGAGGGCCTGGCTCTTGATAGCGTGGCGTGGTTCAAAGTGCAAATCGAACTCAGAAAGTTCGATTGCCCATTTCACCACCCGTCCTGTACCCTCTCGATTATGCAAGATTTGACCGAGGGGGTAAGACGTAACCACAGTGACCCGATGCGCCTGGAAATAATGGCGCAGTTTCCTCGAGGCCATCAGAATAGCGTAAAGCATCTTCTGGGCCTGAGGGTATCGGGTTTTGGCGTCCCGGAGGGCCTCACTAACAAAGTAGACGGGCCGCTGCACCTTTCGGTGGGGCCGATTCTCTTCGCTAGGGGCCGCATCCCTGGGGCACTCTTCGTCCAAGCAGCCTCGCGGGGCGCACTTGTCTTCTGTGCTGATGACCTCGGGGTCGGAGGATAACAGGGGCGGCCTTACCACAGTGGCTTCGGGGCCGTCCTGGGGGTCGGGGGCTCCTGTTGTCGTCGGACAAGCGGGCAAAGGGCCAACTCCGGTCGTCAGGGGCCTTAGGCCTCCGTTCGGCTCGGGGGCCTCTTCTCCCTGCTTTTTCCCGGGTCGAGTCAGCACAGGGTTAGCCTCAGGGTCAAAGGGCGATAGGTGCGGCCTTCCCACAGTGGCCTCGGGGCCTTCCTGGGGGTCGGGGGCTCCTAGCACCGTCTGACAAGCGGGCAGAGGGCCAACTCCGGTCGTCGGGGGCCTTGGGCCACCGTTCGGCTCGGGGGCCTCTCCTCCCTGCTCTCTCCCGGGCCAAGCCAGCACAGGGTGAGGATGCGTGGAATGAGGATTGTCCTCATCGCGCTCCACAACCAATGCTGCACTAACTACTTGCGGGGTCGCCGCTAAGTAGAGTAGCAAGGGCTCATTTGGCTCCGGGGCGACCAGAACTGGGGGAGAGCTGAGATACGCCTTCAACTGAGTGAGGGCACGTTCAGCTTCCTCCGTCCAAGTAAACGGCCCGGAGCGTTTGAGGAGCTTGAATAAGGGTAGCGCCTTCTCTCCCAGCCTCGATATAAACCGACTTAGGGCGGCCATGCAACCAGTGACGCATTGCACATCCCTAAGTATGCTGGGGGGCGCATCCGCTCTATAGCTCGTATCTTTTCGGGGTTGGCCTCGATGCCTCGGGCAGAGACCAAGAACCCGAGAAGCTTGCCCGCAGGTACACCGAACACGCACTTATCGGGGTTCAGTTTTATGCGGGCAGAGCGGAGACTCTCAAAAGTTTCCGCTAGATCTGAGAGTAACGTTTCTTGGTTGCGCGTCTTTACAACCAAGTCATCGACATAAGCCTCAACATTACGCCCTAATTGACTACCCAAAGAAATTCGAGTAGTACGTTGAAAAGTAGGACCTGCATTCTTTAACCCGAAGGGCATTGTCGTATAACAATAGGTTCCTATGGGGGTAATGAACGCAGTTTTTTCCTCATCCTCCCTAGCCATGCGAATCTGATGGTAACCAGAGTATGCATCTAGAAAACACAAAAGGTCGCACCCCGCAGTGGAGTCGACAATCTGATCTATGCGAGGCAGGGGGTAAGGATCCTTAGGACATGCCTTGTTAAGGTCGGTGTAGTCGATGCACATCCGAAGCTTGCCGTTCGCCTTGGGAACGACCACCGGGTTCGCCAGCCACTCCGGATGGATGACCTCACGGATGAATCCGGCCTCCAGAAGTCGCGCCACCTCCTCGCGGATGAAGGCTTGACGTTCCGGGGCCTGCCGCCGCACTTTCTGCCGGACCGGCCTTGCGCTCGGCCGTACGGCGAGACGGTGCTCAATCACCTTCCTGGGGACCCCGGGCATATCCGCCGGTCTCCATGCGAAGACGTCAGCATTTGCCCGCAGGAAGGAGACGAGCGCGTCTTCCTATTTGCCGTCCAGAAGACCACCGATCCGTGTGGTCTTGGACGGGCCGTCGCCCAGGGCAACCTCCTTGACCGGGACCTCGTCGCATGTGATCATCCGCTGCCTCGGGGTGGCGGGGGCGGAGGCGCCAAGCCTCTCATCGCCACCCTCGGGCTTGGACGCGGCGGCGAGATGGTCTGCGCGCTGCTCCATGCAAGCAAGCGCGACTTTGAGGTCACCATGGACAGAGATGGGGCCACCGGGGCCCGGCATCTTCATCTGTAGGTAGGCGTAGTGGACCGCCGCCATGAACTTCACCAACGCGGGCCTCCCCAGGACCGCGTTGTAGGGCAGACTGAGGTCCGCCACATCGAAGTTCACCCGCTCCGTGCGGAAATTGGCGGATCCACCGAAGGTGACCGGGAGGTCGATATGACCTAGCGGCCAAGTGTGTCCCGGCGTCACACCGATAATCGGCTGGGACGGCCGGAGCACCATCCCCGGGGCCTTGATGGCGTCAAAGGCCGCGGGGGAAAGGATGTTGAGGGCTGCTCCTCCATCAATGAGGACACGCCCCAGCTTCACGTTGCAAACAGTGGGGGAAACCACCATTGCAATCTGCCCTCCCTGGGCAACGCACGGTGGGTGGTCGGTTTGGTCGAAGGTGAGGGCAACCTCCGACCACCGCGCCCGACGCGTCGCCTCATGAGTAGGGGCCGCGGCCAGAAGCTCTCGCTTCATAGTCTTGAAGCTCCGGCGAGAAACGTGAGCACACGCTCCCCCATCGATGGTGGCAATGGTGGCCCCAGGCTCTTGGAAACCTAGGTCATCATCGCCATCATCGATGTCCTCGGCGGGGGCCTTCTGCTTGGCCTCACTTCGCCGATTGCCGGAAGGAACCGCCGGGGACTTGCCTTCCCGACGCTCCTGCCTCCTCTCCTCCTCCCACTTCCTTGTCCGCTCAGCCAAGCTTTTGACTGCGCGACAGTCTGCGAGGTCATGGAGGGAGGTGTTGTGGACGGTGCACCACTTGCCGGTTGGGCGCTCCCTGCTGGGAGCGCTGGCCTCCTTCTTTTTGTCGCTCGCAGGCCTCCCCTTTCGGGTGGCCCGCGAAGCGCCCTCGACGGCGAGGACATGACCCTCGTCGTCGGAATGGACTGACCTCTTCTTCCTCCTCCTGTCACGCCGCCCTGTCTGAGCAGCGGATCCGGGGGCGGCCGAAGCTGCCACACCGGAACCGGAGGGATTCCAGGTCCATGCCTCCTCTTTACGAGCCACTCGGTCCGCGAGCTGAAAAAGCTCCGCTGTAGTCTGGGGCTCCTTGGAGGCGATCTTTTCGAGCATGCGGTTGTGCCGCACGCCCCCCCTGAACGCGTAGATTACCGCGTGTGCAGGGATGCATGGTATGGTGTTGCGGACTTGACAGAACCGCTGAATGTACGAGCGAAGTGACTCATCGTCCCTTCGCTGTACTGCGTGTAAGTCCGCTTCTTCACCTGGGCGCGGATATGTGCCCTGAAAGTTCATAGTGAACTGTTGGCACAAATCCTCCCAGGAGTGGACTGACGCGGGTGGCAAGTTCATTAGCCAACCCCGCGCCTGCCCCTTCAGAGCCATGGGAAAGAAATTCGCCATGACTCTGTCGTCACCCCCGGCGGCCTCAATCCCGGTCGTGTAGACCTGGAGAAACTCGGCGGGGTTGACGCTGCCATCATATTTTTCGGCGATGGTGGGCCGGAACCTTGGGGGCCAACGGACATTCCGAAGACTCGCCACAAAGGCTCTACAGCCGACACCACCAACCGGGGGCACGGAGGGCTGATTCCCGCGTCCGTGTTGAGGTGACACTCTGGACGAGGAAGCGCCCTCCGTTGCGTGGGGAGCACTTCGGTCATTACGCCGGCGCTCGACGCTGGTGCGGGCGTCCGGCCCCCCACGCAGATCTTCCCGGGTCGAAGGAGTCGACGAAGGAGTGGCGGCCGAATGGCGAACAGCGGCTGCCGCTCGTCGTGCCCTCCGTCTTGACGACGCGGAGCCGGTGGTAGCAGCACCAGAGGCCTTGGTGGCGGAGGACCGCCTACCAGCATCTAGGCGCTGCCGTGCCGTCATGACCAATTTGGCCACGTCGTCCAGCCATCGTTGGGCTGGAGACTCCGGGTCAGGGACGACAGGCGGGTGGCGTAAGAGCGCGCCCGCCTCTACTACCCATCCAGCTGCGGTGTCCATATACCGAGCCACCGCGGGATCGATCGGTGGGCTCGGGAGGGCGCGGTGACTATAGAGGATAAGCGAATCCTTAGCATCAATTTGCGTTCTGTGCAGTTGTTGTGATCGGACTGATGGATAAGTTGGTATCGAGATCATTGTATATTTGCTGGATCCAGATTAGGGTGTATATGTAGTTTGGGAGGTAGGAGAATGCTTGATACATGCACACTGCACTGGTCGAACCATCAATTACGACTATTAATAAATGCTAGTTCATGGAGAGAGCTTGCTTACTGTGACATATAGAAAGTAATGCATTATGTTGTTATTGTATAAATGGTGAGCAAAGTGTATGCCAAACTCAACATTTTGTTGATGAAGCGAATGCGTGATGGAGTTAAGGTTAAGTGGACTGGTTGCGCTATGGTTCAGTTTCATGTTAGGGGAAACTTAATTTCTTGCGAGGTAGCATGATCTGTAATGTTTAGGGAACTTATATCAAGTGTATCCTTGCAGCTGGAAAAGAGGACTTGCCTTTGCCTTATTTGTTGTTTCTACAAGGCGGACCTGGATTTGAAAGTCCCCGTCCCACAGAAGCAAGTGGATGGATGAAGAAAGCATGTGAAGAATACCGTGTTGTGTTGCTAGATCAGGTAGAATCCAATATGTTTGGTAGATGATGTGTTTTATCCTTCTTTGTTCACATCTTGCCCTTATTGCGCTGACATTGATTTGTATTTGCAGCGAGGAACAGGACTGTCAACACCGTTGACAACATCATCTCTTTCCCAAATAACATCTGCAGCAGAACAGGTGGAGTATTTGAAGCATTTCAGGGCAGATAGCATAGTTAAAGATGCGGAATTTATTCGCCTGCATCTTGTTCCAGATGCCAAGCCTTGGACGGTTTTAGGACAAGTATGATACCTAACTTATGTGATATCAATGCATATCTTAGATCAATGCATATTTTTTCTTTTCTTTTTTACTTTTTTTGGCTCCTGCCAAGTTTTGTACATACACTTTATTCTTTTATATATACCGTAGGGGCCTCCTTCACTGTGCTTTGATAAAAAAAATGATACATAATAATTCTTCAGCAAGCATCTATATTTCTAGTGATATTAATAATTGACTCGTGTTTATTTGTGAAATAACGTTTTGAACATTTACAAATTTACATGGATCACTCAAAGTAAAGACTGAGCTTTGAAGTTTGCAATTCACGTTGGCAAACTACTTTTGCCTCGGAGCTGATGCTTTCCTCATTCAAGAAATATGGGCTTCATTTGTAATTTTCAGCCAATTTGATTATCCATACAAGGAAAACATTTGTTTTTCTATTGCTATACATATTAAACCAGACATTAACTTGTTCACAATTCACACTGGACTTGCAACTGCTGGCAAGACTAAAGAGCTAACAAAAAAACATTGTTATGACTATTTGAGTTGGGGGTGAAGGTGTGTTCGAGTCTACACCCCTCCCCCACTCTAGAGGATTTTATTTTGCTGCACTTACGTAACTGTGTTGACGATATAACAGAGAAGGCCGAAAAAAAGGCCTTGTTTCACACAATTACTTCAGGATATTTTATGTTCAACTGCTTGTTTATCTTTCATTCGATGATGGTCATCTAGCACCATATTAATTATGTTGTCTACTCTTTCTTCGACTACAGAGTTATGGTGGATTTTGTGCTGTTACCTATTTGAGTTTTGCTCCAGAAGGCCTGAAATCTGTTCTTTTGACTGGGGGGCTTCCACCTCTAGGGAGTGCCTGTACTGCAGATACTGTGTACAGGGCCTGCTTTAAACAAGTTCAGCAGCAAAATGAGAAGTACTATGCGAGATATCCTCAAGATATACAAGTCATTCATGAGCTTGTAAGATATTTAAATGAATCTGAAGGTGGAGGAGTAAGTCATTCTTAAGTAAATACTTTTTGTGTTTTTTTTCTATGTGAATTTGGAAACTTGTATCTTGAGCATCATTTGTGTTTTCAGGTTTCTCTTCCATCAGGTGGCAGGTTAACTCCTAAGATGTTGCAGTGCCTTGGATTATCTGGTTTGGGCTCCGGTGGAGGATTTGAAAGGCTGCATTATCTGTAAGCAAAGGTTTTCTCATTCATGACTTGAAAAACAAGCACAATTTGCCCCATCTGGAATTTCTTTCTTTTTTGTATGGTACAGGTTTGAGAGGGTGTGGGACCCTATATTAGTCCCTGGCGCAAAAAAGACTATAAGTTATTACTTCCTGAAAGAGGTAAACTGTCCACCATGCATAAATCATAATGCTGGACTTTTAGATCTTCGCGTTCCTATTGAAGCAATGTTCTCTATTATTTGCACTAGGGATTCCAAGTGGTAATCTAACATTATAACTTTTTGCAGTTTGAGAGGTGGTTAGGTTTTGATCAAAATCCTCTTTATGCTCTCTTGCATGAGTCTATCTATTGTCAGGTACCTTTGGAGCCTCATATGTTAGACTGGTAGCATGAGAACATCATATTGTTTAGAACAATTGTTCAAGTCTTCTCTTATTGATGGATGCAGGGTTCTCCATCAAAATGGTCGGCTCACAAGATTGGCAGTGAGTGTGAAAGTTTGTTTGATCCTATCAAGGCTATAAAAGAAGGCAGACCTGTTTATTTTACTGGAGAGGTACACCCAGATCTTTTAGGAGAAGTACCAATTCTGCAATTCATTACAGTCAAATGTTTATTTGCCAAATGAAATCTGATAGCGAATGGTACATTTTGCAGGCTATTTCCAACTAACTAATAGTCTATACTTAGTCAGGTTTAACAGATTGACATTATAAAGTTTCAATTATCTTATGAAAACTTTGTCCTGCATTTTAAGAAAGTAAAACATTTGTACAGAGATTTTGGATAAATCTTGTGAGAATAACTCAGCAATGTCGAAGTCATTTTTCCTTAACTGACTCAACCTAGCAGCTTCCGAGTTGTTGTCCTTTGAGATATCATCGCTTCCTGAAGATTGTATACAGATTCTAACATGTATTCCTTTCTCATTATGCAGATGGTATTTCCATGTATTTTTGATGAGATTCACGCCTTACGACCCCTGAAGGAGACTGCCCATATGTTAGCGCACAAAGAGGACTGGCCCCCACTGTATGATGTCAACGTGCTGAACAACAATAAGGTTCGTTCTTCTTGCTGAGAAAAAGCCATGAACTCCTCACCATCATCCTCTGTTAAGGAAGGCTAGTTTCAGGAGAATCTAGAGCTGAACCCATTTGCCTTTTTCTTCATCAGTGGATGCACCGGTTCTTGGCCATCTTTATACTAAAAGAACATCATATTTGCATGGTACTCCTCAAACGCTTAACTGGGTAGGTTACTTGCAAATTCTGCAGGTCCCGGTGGCTGCCGCCGTCTACTACGAGGACATGTACGTCAACTTCAACATCGCCAAGGAGACGGCCTCCCAGATCGCGGGCATCCGGCTCTGGATTACCAACGAGTACATGCACTCGGGCATCCGCGACGGCGGCTCGCACGTCTTCGACCACTTGATGGGTCTTCTCAACGGCAAGAAGCCTCTGTTTTAGCTCATTTCTTAGCTGCCTTTTTGGAGTATCGAGTAAAGCTGTTCGGACATTGGTAGTACAAGTCTCCATTGCTTCCAGTAATAACAAAACTGGGATTTTTTTTTCTCCAAAAAACAACAAAACTGGCGTTCTTCCAGTAGAAATAATAATAAAATTAACGTGTTAAATTGTGGTTTCCTTTGACTATGCTGTGACGCCGCGAGACACTCATGTAAGTGTAACCATTCAATAATAAAATGAAGCATTCCTGTTATTGTATGTAGATGGGAAAAAATGTTACACTATTGACACAAGATAATTCTGGAATAGGTGATGTACTTGTGTACAATGCACCCTGCCGAAATTTCTTTGGCTCTGATAGCACAAATTTATTGTAGAGTTTGAGTGCAATAACTGACGAACACTATTAGCTCTACTTTTACCCGACAGAAGAATGCGATTGTTTGCGCTCTTCTCGGTAAAAGAGAAAAACAAAAGGTTGAAACCTTGCAAGTCGCAACCCAAACAGAAAACGAGAAATTCCAAGGGCATATAATACTACTAGACAGACAACTTCTGAAGAAATAACTTGAAAATGACTTGCTGGCATCCGGAGTAAAAAGGTAACAAAGAAACAGCCTTTTCCTCTTCTATACTTACAAGCAGCTCAAGCTAACCGATCTACAGAGACGATCGAAACCCTTCACTTTCAGACATCCGGAGTAAAAAGGTAACAAAGAATGAAATAGTTAGCTCTAGTCCCTTCCTAAAGGAATTAGCTCAGTGATCGTGCGTCAAAATTAACGTATTATTACATTGGCAAAATTTTGACGAACTACAAACAACATCATGTCAATACGCACCATCTGAAATTGAAGTGGAAATACCTCTCCATGCTGCTGCCGAACAGCTGAATCAGCTCCTTGCTCAGAAAAAAAATATGAGCCATGTGCCTCCAGTCACGGTGCAAAAATTGTGCCTCAAGACAAGAGGCCTCCCGTTGCGAGCTGAAAACAGGATCTGGAAATTCCGGTATAACTCAAGCTCACCACGTCCTGTCCACTCTGTTGTATATGGAGCGAACTGTATATTCCCATGAAGGTTTGCAATGCGAGTGCCGAAATTCATATATTCATCCTGGCCCCCAACAGTGTGTGTATGTCATGTTAGACCATACGGTCCATACTTGACAATCTAGCAGCTGTTGACCCCTTCTTTCGTCGTCGGCGCTTTTGTTGCACTCTGCAACTTAGGTACAACATAAGGCCTGTGCGTTGGGGCAAGGTACAAGGTCAGAAATCAGATACATCGGCCAGACACATTGACCAAACTTTGACACCATTGACTTTTTCTTCAAAGTTTGAATAACAAAATGTGTCGATCATCAAAAGGTACTTTAAGCATGCCTTACATGTTTGTCAGTTTGCATAAATATTTCTAGAGAAGACGAATACCATATGTTTAAAACCAGAGGTAGTAGTCAAGATTCAATAAGTGTTTGTTACTTACAGGCAGTAGCAGCAAAGCAAGGTACCATCCATTGGCTTGCCACTAGCATTCCTATGTCAATCTGCAAAATAATAGAATTGTTACCACAATAGTTAAATCCTATAGGAGCATATGAGAATATCTCCTAACAAAACCTAAAACCCCATTAAATGATAAGCTTTCCATCTACTCTATGTTCTAGAGAAAGAACATTAAACTTCCTCGCTATATATCCTCTGACTTTTACATAGCAAAGTAAACAACATTATTGTGGTTAAATGGGCTCCCATTCACTACAGTGTTTCTCTAGTCTTACGGAGTAAGTCCTAATCATATGGTTTCCAGTGTTCTTCAAATTGACCTATCGCACAAAACTAGCGACAGTGTCCTGGTTTTGTGCTCTAGCTTCTATGTAAAAGCAAGAGATGAGGCTTGATCACACTGTGCATTTCTCTAGAGTCTAGGCAAGATAGTAAACTGTACAAGGTATTAAATATGGTAGCTGCAGGCTGGAGCAAGACATATTTGGTGGCCGTTCACAACATATGGCCAGTAAACCATGAAAATTCTGTTATTATTATTAAGTTTATAGCATAATCATAGTTAGATTAACGCATGCAGTAATATGCTAACCTTACTATTACTAAGCGTGTGCACAAATTGTACAGCATAAAGGGATCCAGAATTCTGAGAAAATGTAAGAAACTAGAGTTATTGCTTGATCAAGTGCAATATGCTAACTTAACAAATGTTAGCCACTACAAAGAGGAAGGCAAGACAGGATACCTCTTCGTGCCCGAGAAAACCAAAATAGTCCATTCTTTTATCAAACTTAGAAGCTATTGGTGTTGAAATATTTCTTTGCAGGCCAGCTTCATCTGGTGTGCTGTCAGAAGCTATTGGTGTTGAAATGTTGTAAGCTTCACTTTTCTGGTACTCTGGCAACTTTCTTGTTGTGCCTGTTTGTTGGGTACCATAACCTTTCGTTCCCCAAACCTCAAATCGGGAATCCTGGTGACAGATCAATTCATTGCCAACGACAGTTGAATATGTTGAGAAGTTCACATCTGGTCTACGTGACAGTTGATGGATGCTCTCAAAAACTGGAAATTTTAACTGAGCAGATTCTGAGAAAAGAACAGGATCTTTGATTCTATTGCCAGTGAACTCCACAAGTTTTCTCAAAAGCCAATAGCAGTTTGTTACCATGTGACTACTGTCAAGGCAATTTGAATCTCCATAGACTGCAACCCGACCTTTGCCTGCTTCCATCATTCCAAGAATAGAAGAGAGCTGCCAAGGAGAAGCAAATAAGCCTTACTATACCTATACAGCAAGTATTATATACTGTAAAATAAGGGCTATGATAAAATGGTGCGATCAAAACAAATATCAAATTATTACACCTCCATCCCAATATGTTAACCTAGGATGGGATTAGACCCATCCTAGGTTGCTACATATTGGGACGGAGGGAGTATCTACCAGCATAATGAACTGGCCAGAACACTCATTAGTATCCTCCTTTTACTGAATTTAAATCACTATCTATGTCCATAAGAAAAAACAGTTCAGAGTATGGCACATGAGAAAATTCTGGTCATAAAAGGGTCCAAACTTCACAATTGGAAAGTTACATATTTTGCCTAATCGTAGCTTTTGATGGGCTCTCATAAATAAAAGTTAAGTTTTGGAATAACTGATTTTAGTAAGAATCTAACACTTGCAACTTATATGGCCAACAAAATCTTGCATGAAAGTTCAAGAGACTATTATTACAAGTTAAGCATGACCACCATCCATTGGTTAGCTCAGAACTTGATATTCCTGAAAAAACCTGCCTACCAATCATAATACCATGTGCACAGAGCCACAGACTAGGAGGCACTGACACAAAGGCACCAAATCTAGGGAACAGTTTCATGAGAAATGACCAGGCATGCCTCCATCAAATGGCATATTACAACTATTCAACCTATAGTGCATCATTAGGTTCTTGCTCAAGTAGAAATATTGTAATGGCCACACCATCATTTTGAAAGAATGCATTTCAAGAAAATAGATAAATAATGTGAAATAGTGCGCAATAGATACTAACCTTGCTTTTATCTGGGGTATTTTGTGTATCTGCGCTTCTTGAGTTATCCTGAGAAATTTTAGAGTTGTCCTGGAGTTGGAAGCTATGCAAAAAACCTCCTGCTGGGAATTGCACTATATCAGTCCCAGAAGCATAGTGGGTCTGCTCACCATTGATTGAGAAGTCACCACTTAGTACTTTGTCCCCAAAAGCAATGCCAAATGGTGCCAAAAGTTCATTAAGTGCAGGAACATTTGCACCCCCAGTAATTGGAGTCCACCAACTGCGTGTATTTTCATCAAAGAATGTCATCTTAACCATTGTGTCGACATGATACCACTCTGCAAAAACAACAACGCCAAGCCCTTTGTGTACAACATCATCCTTAAGTTTCTGAATCTCCTCACTGAAGTACTCATCCTCAAGGTCAACCATAAGCAGTGTCCCATAATTGCTAGCATCAAAGCAGGTAAGTGGAGATCCAAGGGTCTCAATGTAGTATCCTGCATCTCTCAGCATGTTGAACAGTATATGAAAATTCGTGTGCAAGTGATCGCCATGCCAGTCAAGGATATCATTATGCACATTAAGTGAATCTCTTGGAACAAAACCAGATGGGTATTTGATATTATGAAATTGGTCCCACAATATTCTTCTGGACCTAACAGGTGTTGGCACCACCTTGACCTTCAGGTAAAGAACACATGAACTACTTCGTGGACTGCTTTCCCCATGGGCTGCTGGGCTGTAAATTGACAATGTGACCTTGCCACTGATTATGCCTGAAAACTGAGATCCTTCATCTTTAACTTGTAAGTGCAGGGCAAGATAACCTGTCCAAGGCCATATGACATCTGAGTAGGTGAAGTGAACACTAAGAATATTGCCGACATCCTCAGAGGGCTGCCATACAGGAGGATCCTTAACATAACCAATCACCCCCATCCCGTTCAGAATTGTAGCATTGAAGACCACTGGCATAGCTCCAGCATACAGAGGTTGGCGGCAAAAAGGCCAGAAATAGGGACAATCAGTGAAGTCAAGGGTATTAGGAAAGATGCTTGCACGCGGTTGGTAACTTTTCAAGATTTCGTATGATTGCCAGCTGGAAAAAGACAAAACAATAAATGAGTATCTGTTTGAGCACACAATAGAAAGAAGGGCAAACCAACTTGACAGGATATACTGCCTCTAAATTTTGAAGGACAAACCTTGCTGTTTGGAAAGGATGGGATACAAGAAGTATTGAATATCCAACTAATCATAGGCATACCAAAGAGTACATTAAAAGGGACAAGAAACTTACAGGTCAATCTTGCCAGCGCCCTGCTCATACATGTTTGGTCCTGAAAGCCTAGAAGCACCCTCTACAAGGGCTTGTTTCATTGTTGCAGGGTTAAGGATGGATTTCCGATGCTCCTCTGGTATAACACTAACAAGCAAGCATACTACACCAGCAACCACCGGGCTTGCAACACTGGTGCCTGAAAGGGTTTTACAACCTGTGCTGATCTTTGAACCCATTATATCACGACTATACGCAACAACATCAGGTTTAACACGGCCATACCTGCATTATTGAAACCACACCTTATGAGTAAGCCAATTCAAGGATCTGTGAAGCTAGCACAAGAGAAGATGGTACTATGGCATTGTAAAAAAATGATCATCGCTACCCCCCCCCCCCCCCCCCAAAAAAAATTGCCTCATCATT